GTCTCCCTCTGACAAATAAATAAAATCTTTAAAAAAAATATAAGCACCTGTCAGCCATTTCTTCACCATCCAAGTGAAGTGGATCTTGGGAAGCTATTGATACCCTCTTTCAAGTTGGAAACTCTCCCTTGTTGCTTTTTTTTTTTTTCAAGTGCAAACAGAGCAATAGATAAAAAGTAATAAATATAGTTTAAGATTTGCGGCTGCTAGGAGTTTTACACTCATAGACACACTTAATGTTCGCATCAAACATTTTATTTTATTTTGCATTTTATAGTGCTGGTGGTGGGGTGCTGAGCCCAGGGTGGTTAGAGAACACGCATGCCCAAGGTCACATAGCTTGTACTTGAGAAAGCACCATGCTTTCAACCCTGCTCTACTTACTTAATGGCTACATAGACTCTGGATAAGGCTGCGGACCATAACTAAGCTTCATTTCCAAGTAAATAAGGAAAAGGGAATTGAGGGGAAGGAGAATTAATGAAACAGTAGTTGCAAATCACTGAGCCCAGCGCCTGGCACATGGCAAATTCTCAGTAAATGTGAGCAAGTATTGTTGGCCCAGTGTCAACTCTTTAAGAACTTTCTTTTGGGGAGAATATTAATGATCCATTATTTCTTGCTTGTGAGATGGGAAGTTATTGACTTACCGCTGCTGGGCTTGGCATGTTAAGCCCTGTTTCTGTTTATTAATGTGATGAGGTTACTTGTGGTGAGGGAGGGTCCCTGCTGCATGGTGGCGGTAATTATCAGTGTTGCTGTGCAGCCGCAGGAACCAATTGCTAGCAAATGCTGGTTTCTTCCTTTCTCTCTCTCTCTCTCTTTTTTTTAAAACCCATTACATAATTTATCAATCATTTCATTCCGTAGTGAGATGAAAAGAATTTAGCAGCCTTCAGCTGGAGCTGAATAGAGAAGCAAATTATAGAAATCACTGACATTAGTGCCTGGCTAGAGCAGGATTGTTTCCTACTGAATATTTGAAAGTATTTTGTCCAATCTAATTTTAAAAGACTGGAGCCACTGGGCTTCCACTGCTTTCCTCGGGAACTATAATTACGTGGCCTAATAGAGCTCAGTGGTGGGACATATTCTCCAGCTGATAGAGGAGCAATGGAGGCATTCGTAGGAGATCTGGTCACTGTGTTCTTCAAAATGGGATTTGAGAAGGGGCACAAGCATATTTTGCTCACTTGAGAAAATATTTTTTTTCTACCCAAGGATGTTCCTTTGGTCTGCCCGGCTGCCATTGAACCATGGTTTGCTACATAATGGGATTTTCTTTAACTCTGTGTTATAGAGAATCCCTCAAATACACAATAGTAAAGAGAACAATATAATGGACACCCGTGTGCCCCACACTAGCCCCAACAACCATTCGTCATTGACCAATCCTGCCCCAAACACATGCTTACCCACTTCTTCCCTTCTACTCATCCTCTCACTTTTTCTAAATTCTGATAAAATATATATAACATAACATTTAGCATATTAACCATTTTAAAATATATGATTCAGTGGCATTAGGTACATAGTATTGTGCAACTGTTACCACTATCTAGTTACAGAATTTTTCATCACCCCAAAAGGAAACTCTGCACCCATTCAGCACCATTCCTCCCTCCCCCTAGTGCCTGGCAACTGCCCATCTGCTTTATATTTCATATAAATGGATTTATACAATACATAGCCTTTTTGGTCCTTCTTTCAGTGAGTATAATGTTTTCAAGATTCAACCATGTTGTGTCAGGCATCAGTACATCATTCCTTTCCATAGCAGAATAATACTCTGTTATATGGCTATACCACATTCTGTTTATTCATCTGATAGTGGACATTTTGGTTACTTACACCTTTTGTCTATTGTGAATAGTGGTGTTTTGAACATTTGGATGCAAGTTTTTGTTTGAATACTTGTTTTCAATTCTTTTGAGTATATGCCTACAAGTGGAATTGCTAGGTCATAATGCAATTCTATGTTAACTTGTTGTGGAACCATCGAACTCTGTGTGACTGCAACATTTTACATTCCCCCCAGCAGCATACAACAGTTCCAATTTCTCCACATCCTTGCCAACATTTGTTATTTTCTGCCTTTTTTAAAAAAAATTATAACTATCCTAGTGGGTACAAAGTGGTACCTTACTGTAATTTTGATTTACACTTTCCTTTTTTTAATTTAAATTCAATTAGCCAACATATGGTACATCATTAGTTTCAGATGTGGTGTTCAATAATTTATCAGTTGCCTATAACACCCAGTGTTCATCACATCACATGCCCTCCTTAATACCTATCACCTGGTTACCCCATTGATTTGTACTTTTCCTAATGACTATTGATGTTAGGCATCAGTCCATGTGATTGTTGGTTATTTGTGTATCTTCTTTGGAGAAATGTCTATTCAAGTCTTTTGCCCATTTTTAAATTATGTTATTTATATGTTTGTTGTTGATCTGTAAGTGTCCTTTATATATTCTGGATACTAGACTCTTATTGGATATATGATTTACAAATACTTTTCCCATTCAGTTGGTTTTCTTTTCACTCTCCCAGTTGCATCCTTTGAGGCACAGAAGTTTTTAATTTTAATGTAACCCACCTTATCTGTTTTTCTTTTGTTGCCTGTGCTTTAACTGTCATAGCTAAGCAACCATTGCCAAGTCCAAGGTCATGGAGATTTCCCCCTATGTTCTCTCCTCAGAGTTTTATAGTTTTAGCTCTTATATTTAGGTCTCTGATCCATTTTGAGATAATTTTTTGTATGGTGTGAGGTCAGGGTTCAATATTATTCTTTTACATGTGGATATCCAGTTGTCCCAGCACCATTTATAGAAAAGACCATCATATCATTTTATTCATAGTCATTCAGCATGTTTCACTAAAAGATAAGAACTTTTTTTTACATAACTACAGTACCATTATCACACTTTTAAAAACCCTCATATTTCCTTAGTATCATCAAATACCTAGTCTGTATTCAAAGCTTTAATTGCCTCAAAAATTTTAAGACTTTGGGAAAAAAACTCATATCCAGATAAGTTGCATCCCTTGCAAATGTTTTTAAGTCTATAGATACCCCCCCCATCTCCTTTTTTCCTTCTTGCAATTTATTTGTTGAAGCAAATGGGTCATTTGTCCTGTGGAGTTTCCTGTTCTAGGTTTTCTCGATTGTATCCCCATGAGGTAACGTGTTCCTCAGTCCTCTGAATTTTCTGTAATCTGGTAGTTGGAACTAGACGCTTGATCAGAGTCTAGGGTTCTTTTGTTTTGTTTTTCGTTGTTTGTTTTTGGCAAGGCTACTTCTTAGGTGATGTTCTTATTATAATTGAGAGGCAAATACTGTCTGGTCACTTCTTATGTTTTTTATGTTAGCAGCCATTGATAATCAGTGCTTAAATTCATTAGTTTGTCAGGGACTATGAAATAGTGATATTTTAATTCTATTATGTCCTCTTCATTTATTACATGGAATGACTGCATTTTATAAAGAGAAGATTTGCCCCTTTTAATTACTTAACTATCCAGTGCTAAAACTTGTCTAAGAATGTAGTATAAATTCTTGATTCTTTCACTCTATTTACCAGTCTCAAAGTAAGCCAATGCCGGGTATATTCTTTTTGAGGGCTGTTTGTTAATGCATTTAGGTAAGTTTAATGTATTTCAAGCCATCGCAATTCTTATTCTTATTGATGCTCAAATCATCCCATCTTTGGCCAGTGAGAACCTCTTCAAGGTGACTCTTGAGTTCTTTCTAACATGACCCATATTTGTTCTTTGATAGCTTCCTGACTATCATGTATGATAATTTTACAACTCTTATGGGTTGCAATGTGGTCTATTGTGGCACTTTTCAAATTTCCTTACAAAACCTCCTGAGAGGTCTCTTTACTTCTACGGGTACTCTGGAGAAGATGGTAGGGTTTCCCTACCCTTTGTGCAATCGTAAGGCCAGTCAGCAAAGGCATTGGAAACTCATTCATGAAACTCATGTCAGGAGTTTTACTGAGTTTCTACGAGGCATACATGGTGTTGATGTTAAGAATGTACATTTGGACAAAGTCAAAACCATCAATGTGATTTTATTATAGGTCCGTTTGAATTCTGTTTCTAGTGTCTAGTCAGAGATCGATTGCTAGTTATTCTGAATTCTTCTCATATAATTAAGAAAAAATGTAAGTATTTAATAATAAGATGCCATTTGTTGAAGACCTTTCTTTCTTTTTTTTTTTTTGAAGAAAAAGGAGAAAGTAAGGAAATGGATGTGTTTCCTAAACCTAGAATATGGATGTAAAATCAGATGAATTGCTTTTCCTCTTCTAGTCTCTATTTCTCCATTAAATAAGGGAGATGATTAAATTCTGCCTATTTGATAAAGTTGGTGAGTGCTGTAATGAGTTTATATTTATACAGAACTTGAAGCTTTTTGGATGAAAGGTGCTAAATTAAGGCTTATTGTTTATTGAATTTATTTGATGTGTCTAACCTCCTGGGAACATTTGCTGAAAGTTAATTAAAAACAGATAGTCTCCACTCTGACAGCTTACAGTGCCACTTACAAACCAATAGCATGAACAGTGTATACTTTATTGTCCTAATGTCAAATTGCCTAGAACACCATAGTTCTTTCAGACAGGGGAATGATCCACTTTTGTAGGAAATATGAGATCAATTGCTGGATAAAAACACAGAGATATTCTCAACTACATCTGAACCACCTAGCTTCCCTCATTTTTAGAAATACTTAGAATATGGGGATTTCCCTCAATTTCCAATTATAACTTTCAGGTTGGAAAATTAAAAATCATCTTTCTTTTCCATCACTTTGGAAAGAAATTAAGATATGAGTTTATGTTTTCTACACTGTCTTATGATCACTTCTTCTTTACAGGAATGGTATTCTAAAACAGCCAACTGGAGTGACTTATGCTTTCTTAACTCAGCCCAGTGGAAGCTGTGAAGTATAATTATAATAATGGCATGTTTGCTTCCTTTGCCAGTTGGTGATGGAGTTTTGTGGCGCTGGCTCTGTCACTGACCTGATCAAGAACACAAAAGGTAACACCTTGAAGGAGGAGTGGATCGCATACATCTGCAGGGAGATCTTACGAGTAAGTGACAACGCAGAGTATCTTGGGAGGTGTTGAGCTGAGTTTTCAAACATTATATGAAAATGCAAAGGGCCAAGAATAGCCAAGGCAATCTTGAAGAAGAAGAAGAGAGCTGGAGGATTTATGCTGCCAGTTATTGAGACTTATTATAAGGCTACTAAGTAAATAAGACAGAGTGGAATTGTCACAAGACAGACAAACGGCCAGGGGAACAGAATCAAGAGAGTCCAGAAACAGACCCACTTCATCTGGACACCTGATTTATGGCAAAAGGAGCACTGCAGGACATGGGGAAAGGGTGCTCTTATCAGTATATAGTGCTTGGTCAATTGAAGAGTCATGGGAAAACAAGAAACTTGATACCTGCTTTATGCCATATCTAAAAATTAATTCCAGCTCGATAAGAGATATAAATGTAAAAGATTCAAAAAATAAAGCTCTTAAGAGCAAACATAGGATAAAACCTCCATGGCTTGGGGTGGGCAAAAAGATTTCTGATACAGAACACAAGACAAAATTTGAGCGGGAAACAAGGAGGTATGGTTGCTTCTTTCCTTCAAATCTGACATTTATTTTTGAGTGTTGAGGTGCTTTTGTGTAAACTTCATTTGAATTTCTGACTTAGAATTTCACTCATTTAGAGAAAGCACAAAGGGTTATTTAGGCATCCAGACCACCCATTGGGGCCAAGAATACGTTGGGCCTCCAGGGCTGGTTCTGCAATATACCTTTCTGCTCTGCTGGGGAACCTTGGATGGGGGACCCTGGGGATCAGCCATGGGCTCTCCGGGGTTCTGAAAGCAGCAGGATGTTTCACCTGATGACTGTCTCTCAGTACCTGATTAGAATGTGTGAAAACAGTGTTTTCTTCTTTCTTCCAATACATTTTCTCGAAAGATACTGGCATTTGAGGTAAGGTGACTCATTGGAAGGGACATTCAATCACAAGAAGTTTCAGAGATAACCCTCCAGGCATCATATGATATCATTAACTACAATGTTTGGCTCACTTATGTGCTCTGGTACCTGCTTCCAACCGCTTTGCTAGTGAAGGAGTGTGAGGATCTTCAGTCCCTCTAAGTATTCATAGGATGTTAATATGTTGTAAAACCATACATTTTACTCTGCTTGGTGCCTACCTTGAGCTGAATTGACTAGAGAGGAAAGGTAATTTTTTTTAAAACCCAAACCAGTGGTTCAATTTCTCACATGGTTTGTGTTTACTGATCTTCCTGAATATACACATGGATCTTTTTTGGGCATCCAGATTCTTATGCTGAGTTTTTTCAACAAAATAATTTGGATATTATTTTTGTTTCTTTTTGTGTCAACTTCATCTTTCCATGCCAGGGTTTTTTCATTATGGAGGAAAATTAAAAGTATAGAAAATTATAAATAACAAAATACAATACTTGAGTATACAGTACCTTAATTAGCAAGTGTTAGCATAATATAATTTGCTTCAAGACTCCAATTTGAGATTTTTTTAGGTTATACTTTGAGAAACGTATCACTACCTTAGAGCAAGTCCATAGATTTCAGAACTCACACCACAAATAAGCCAAAGAGAGAGTAATTCATGGAGAAGTGGAACACAGTCAATTTTGGATGTCACCAAATAATTGTTTCATACAATGAACACAAAGTCACAAATATCATAAAGCACTAAAGATGATAGTTACGGATGCCAACAAAGGAAACAGAAACTGTTGTTTTCTTTTTTTAACGTGAGCCACATTGGCTAAAGGCAATGGGAAATTTCTTGTCTGGTCTGAAAAAATACTTTATTGTGCTTAACTAAAATTATACGATATAATGTAACTTTTAACTATTTTTTTTCTTCTAAGTTTTTATTTAAATTCAAGTGAGTTAACATAGAGTGCAGTATTGGTTTCAGGAGTAGAATTTAGTGAGCAACTTTTAACTCTTGAATTCAAATATTGCTTAAAAAAAAAAAAGAGTGGGGGACTTAGTTAAATCAGGTTAGTTTTCTGTACAGAGACTAGATATTCCTGTTACAAACGAGCAAAGGCAGGCAGTCCTCACTTTTCATAGTACTGTTAGCTAAAACTCGTGCATGCCAGAACCACATCCTTGTCCTCATGGGTCTGTGCTACATGAGATCACAGCTGATATGCAAGCAGTTCACTTAATACAGCAGCATGTGTTGCAAAGACCGCTTCTGTATGTCAGTTGCCATTGATCAATTGCCTAGTCTAGAACCGCACTATACACACGTGGAAGACCTGAGTATGATAGTGAAAGTACCAAAAAAAAAAAAAGAAAAAAAGGTATCTCTGGGTGAGTTTGCATCTTTTTTGGATCATTGACAACCCAAACAATTTATTTGCATCTTGGCTTATGTTCCCGTTAACCCTTCTCAACTCTTTGTTACTCCAGGGGCTGAGTCATCTCCACCAGCATAAAGTGATTCATCGAGATATTAAAGGGCAGAATGTCTTGCTGACTGAAAATGCTGAAGTTAAACTCGGTAAGAACAGAATCCAGTGAGCCTAGGAACTGAAGGAATTGATAGGATTATTTCAACAGCTGGTTGGTTTTGTTGTTGTTGTTTTATTTTGTTTTTAGTGAAGGTAAATTTGTCACTACGAATTTGGAGGTCATTGTACTAAAGAATGAAAAGAAAAATCTTTGTCTATTTCAAAGCATTTCTAAAAACACCTGAGGAATGAACTGGTGTACAACATAGCAAACAGAACCGTTTGCTTAATACGTAGAAATAATTGAGGTTTTCTTAAGCAAAAGCCCTTTAGATTAGAAGTGACTGACCTTGAAATGGTTTCCTATATCTCACCATTTGTTGACTTTGTTGCTGCTATAACAGAATTTCCCATTTTTACTGAAAATATCCACAGTTAGACATATTTAAAATAATGAATCCCTGCTATGTTCCCTTATGTTTTAAGTTATATTTACATCAACTTCATTATTACCTAGGGCACCTGTACAAAAGGGGTGTTCAGTATTCAATTTTGTATGCATGCTGGTTATCCTACTTCCATTTGCTGGAGTTATCAGTGAGGGAACCCTTTTCCGTGGTGCTGGACTGTCCAGATAAGGTAGAGAATCTCCACATGCTCCATAATCTCCACCTGCTTGGTGTCTATAAGTAAGAGCATGAATTGACAGCTATCCCTAGGATATGCAGTTTGTCATTGAGAAAGGAGTTATTGGCCATATGATTGTTTATTTCCAAAGAGATTGAAATACGTCCTATGTTTATATCCCAAACATTTGTTCTTGCCTTTTTGTTAAAATATATAATTTCCATTTTTTTCTCAGCATTTGGGGCCAAACTTTCATCTCATGAATATTCCTTTATTTATTTATTTTTTAAAGATTTTATTTATTTATTTGACAGAGAGAGACACAGCGAGAGAGGGAACACAAGCAGGGGGAGTGGGAGAGGGAGAAGCAGGCTCCCGCCGAGCAGGGAGCCCGATGCGGGGCTCGATCCCAGGACCCTGGGATCACGACCTGAGCCGAAGGCAGACACTTAACGACTGAGCCACCCAGGCGCCCCATGAATATTCCCTTTTAAAACAAAAGCATACATTACTTAGGGAAGGCATGTGTGTGTGTGTGTGTATACACATGTTTGTATGGACTGCCTAGATAATCTATCCTCAGAATAGTCACTCATTACTAATTAACAGTCACTTGTTGAGAGAATATTATGTCAGGCCCTGTACACAACACTTACATCACAGCAACTCTGTGTAAATATCATCACCCTCATTTTATAAATTTGGAAACTGAAGCTTAAAGAAGTTGATCTGCTAGCCCCAGGTCACATCACTAGTAAGTGGCAGAATTGGGATGCAAACTTAGGCAGTCTGACTCCAGAAACTTGGCTCTTAACCACTTTCTTTGTATCCCCTAAGTATTATCTTTTATGGTAAACAAGCTGGCTTTTGATTTAACACCTGTGTTTGGCCCCTACGGACCCTTGGCCTAACCAAATACAACATTTTGGACTTTCCTTATTGGTACACTTTATCCATTTATACATGCACTTTAAAAATAGACATTCAGAATAGCTAAAAGGAAGAAGGAACTCAAGTTGGCCATCAACAGATGAGTGAGTAAACACAACATGGCACTTACACACAATGGAATATTACTGAGCCTTAAAAAGTTAGGAAATTCTGACCCATGCTCCAACATGGATGACCCTTGAGGACATTATGCTAAGTGAAATAAGCCAGTCACACAAAGACAAATATTGTATGACTTCGGTACCTGTAGTAGCCCAGATTTATAGAGACAGAAAGTAGGATGGTGCTTGTCGGGGGCTGGGGAGAGGGGAGAATGGGGAGTTATTGTTTAAATGAGTACAGAGTTTCAGGTTGGGAAGATGAAAATGTTCTGGAGTCGGATGGTGGTGATAGTTGCACAACAATGTGAATGTATTCAATGACAAAGAACTGGAGACTTAAAAATGATTAAAATTATAAATTTTGTGGTATGTTTATTTTGCCACAGTAAAAAAAAAATGCACATTCGTTTTATTACCATATAAGGATCATAGACTTTATTCATTTGTCTTCTTTTAAATAGTGGACTTTGGCGTCAGTGCCCAGCTCGATCGAACAGTGGGCAGGAGAAATACCTTCATCGGGACCCCTTACTGGATGGCACCAGAAGTCATCGCCTGTGACGAAAACCCAGACGCCACATACGATTTCAAGGTATGACTCCTTCATTTTCTCTTCATGTGTCTTCATTGACTCACGTCTCGTCCTGAGTCTTGCAGTGGGAGAATTCTCATGTGCCTTTGGGCCTATGATTTATGTAATCCAAAGGGAGAACTGAAAAGCATTATTTGAATTTAAAATGATAAGACACTCAAGTGAGAATCTTTTCCACGAATTCACCCGTTTTATCTGATTGCCTCTTCGTAAAAAATGTTGAAACCGTTTTCTATATTCTCTTGAACTTACTCTTGTTTCTTATTAGAAAATAGATTTCTTATGGAAGGGTTGAGTCACTATATTGTACACCTGAGACTAATATTACACTATATGTTAACTAACTGGCATTTAAATAAAAACTTAAAAATAGATAACAAATTTCTATTTTGATTATAGTTTAGATTTTTAACTATATAT